TAGTCGGTTTTATGTAATTATACTGTCCAGAGGCGTCAGCGTAACGATAAAAGTCAGAGGAAAAGGAGAGCATAGGTGGATTCGAACATTCGATCCGACAATATTGAATACCTGACTGGTTCAAATTATTTTCAATATCAATCCAGACTAATATGAAGAGTCACTGATACTAGTCATGACTGGTTGTTTTCAAGGAACTAATGACAGTTTTAATTTAGAATAGTCGAAAAACCTTAGATAATCTCTTTTGGTTGAACCTAATTATACGAGCAGCTTATTTAGACTCGTTTATATGGAGACTAGAACGATGTATGCAGCGAGTTGTCTATTCATGTCCTTTAAATTTATAGACTGTAATAATTATTAAGAGTAGTTTTATTAGAAGGATGAATTTTAATATTTTTCTAGGAGAACGTTTTTATATCTTAATTAAAATCTGATCATTTGGAGTTAAAAAGAAAATTTATATTATAGAATTATAGTTTATTTTCAAAATTTAAATCAGAAATATTTCAAATGAAGATAAACCTAAAATTTGATATGAAAGGCAAGATATTTTTGAAAATATAAATTATTTTTATTTTCTATTGAAATGTTTATTGTTTTTCGAATAAAAAATAATGTTTTCCAAATACCGATGATAAAAAAAATTTTCTTTTGAAAGAAAGTTAAAAAGTTCTTGATCAAATTTCGCTTAGCTTTATTTAACTAGTTTGCTATTGTATATTAAACATTTTTTGTTAATATTCAAACTTGAGAAAGTGCAAGTCAACCTATATGAATTAGCATCTTAGAATGTCTATTGACATATTAAAATTGATCACTTGATCATATGGTTCAATCGGGTAAAGTATGAGTAAGTAACATATGCTATGCATGTTCGAATCTAACTCTGTGCACATACTTCTATCATTTAGACTAGTTCGGACTAGACCACTATATAGAAATAGATCCTGACAGATGTCGCGCCACTGACGCTCTTCCTTTTTAAATTTACAATCTATTTCGGACGGGTGCTATACATTCTATCGATTTTGGACTAGTCATCTGGGAGTCCGTTTTGAGAAAAAGACCATACCGAACGTGTCGTCTGGACTAGATAAAAGACTAGTCCTTTTACCTGTCTTTTGCTCGCCTGGGTAATCATAAAAGGATAACAGATGTTTCCACTAATATAAACCGAAAAAGTTTAAACAAATGCAAAGGAAAATATATGCGGAAATCACTTGACAATCTTGAGATTATCAAAAGTATGTACATTTTTTTTCTTATATCTGTACATCGGTAAAATTTAAAATATCTTTTTATTATTAAATTTTTCATATCAAATCATTGTTCTAAGATAGTAAATAGACCGCTATTGAAAGCATCTTGCAACAATCAGAAATGTTTAAACTATGATTTACACATCTACGTTATTAATTGTACATTCGGAACTCTCAGACTTTCTGGAAGAATAATACGAACTTATGAGTATTAAGTCAATTCAATTAATATCAATTACACATGAACACCTAAAAATTCGAGCGTGTTTGTTCTTTTATTCCGTAGTTTTCGGCTATTTTCATAGCAAACAATTTTTGTGCAATCTTCTTTGTTTAGTGACTACTCAAATACGATTAGGAAAAGGGTCGTTCAGCAAAAGACCACTCAATGATATTTCGTATTTCATCTGCCTTTTTCTTATGTGGAATAACTTCTGATTTCTATTTTGTTTACTTATGAAACTAGAATGGAATATAATTCAATTTGTCCTTTGTTTTTTTATCGTTGTTTTTCCAATGACTTTGTAATTCATAGAATAAACTAAAGAAAGACATACTCATTCTATTCTATTCCATTCGATACGACAAAATTTATAATTGATTCGGTGTTAATCTCTGTCAGTTATTGAAATACAACTGGTATGTCAATCAACACTACTTTTCTAAACAGTTATCTTGGACCAGATAGCAATTCTACTAAATCTAACTATAATGTGTGTTATTATTCTCTTTTCTCATATTCTTATTTCATTTTAAGTGTGTGTATTGTTTTTCTTTACTATACAGAACCGAGCATTTTCATAATATTTCTCATTGTACGTCGAATGATTCGACTAGTATAACTTGACTTTAATTTGTTAGAAACAAATCATGAAATATAGAGAAATTTTCCGTTATGCATTTACAATTTTATTTTTTGTTTCCTACGAAAATTCACATGTTTTCTTCTCTTTTTCTTTCGATTCTTCGCTATTTGGTAAGTCTTGGGTAGAATGACTAATCAATAAACATGAAGAACGAAACAAATATGTGAAGTAAATAAACGAGGTTAAACTTCTTTTCTTTGTGACTTGTGCAACAAAAACATATCATGCACTCGTAAAAACATCACTTCTTTTTCTCAATTTTAAATTTTAAATTTTATCACTACTATACACAAATATTTATTTCTTTATTTCCATAGTTCTCTCCGAGTAGGATCATGTAAATACGCATAGTGTTCATCTGCCATTAATTTGTTTTACCTCTTCAAAATAATTATTTCCTAAGTCTTGCAAAGGTCTTTGTTTAAAGCTTACAAAAGCATTTATCACTAAGATCCCATCTATATATACGATACATTTCTCGAACCGTTCTTCTTCTTCTTTTTAGTTTCTTAGAATAATTATATCTCAAATCGAAAAGATCTCTGATCGAAATCAACATAAATATCCAATAGTAAAATCATATGTATTTTATATGTTTAATTTATAAAAGTTTTGTGTGTTTTATCTTTTTAGATTCTCTATTTGTTAAATTAAAAAAAAAAATCTTTGATCGAAATCTGCATATGCGCTCATCAGTATGATCAAACACGTATATGTTTTATTCATTAAACTATTTTTTTCTTTACTTTCGTAGATTCTTCATTTGTCAAATTGAGAAAAAAATCTTTGATCAAAATCTTCACGTGTATTCATCAGTAGGATCACCTTTTATTTATATATTTAATTCATTAAACTATTTTATGTTTTACCTTCTTAGATTCTTCATTTGTTAAATTGAACAAATCTTTGATCAAAATCTTCAGGTGTGTTCATCAGTATAATCAAATGTACAGGGTTGCCAAAAATATTTTGCCCAGTGGGTACAGCTCCAACGACAAATGATATCAACATTGAATTTTATATCACATGAAAGCTTGTCAAAAATGGAGTTTATTCATACGACGGAATAAAGACTATAAAGAATTTTCTCTATCGAACTTTGATAAGTTCTAAAAATGCATAAATCGCAGTCATATCAAAAATTTCTTTTATCATAGAGAATGCAAACTATCTCTGATATAAAATTACTAAACATAGAAAGGTTATCCTTACTTTTTTTGTGGCTTAATGAATAATACAAAATAAAGGTAACTTTGCTAGATTCAAGATTTTTATATCAGAAGCAATTTGAGTTTTCTATGACAAAAGGAAGTTTTGCTACGACTGTAGTTCATGCATTTTTAGGAATTATCAAAGTTTGATAAAGAAAATTCTTTATAGTCCTTATTCATTCGTATGGATGATAAGCTCCATTTTTGACAAGCTTTCATGTGGTATAAAATTCAATGTTGATATCATTTGTCGTTGGATCAGCTGTACCTCCCGAGCAAAATATTTTTGGCAATCTTCTATATGTTTTATTCATTAAACTATAATGTGTTTTACCATCTTAGATTCTTCATTTGTCAAATTGAAAGAATAATCTTTGATCAAAATCTTCACGTGAGTTCATCATTATGATCACATCTATTTATATTTATAATTTATTAAATCATTATTTTTATTTTATCAGAATTAAAGTCAATCGTCGCATCATCCTAAGAATTTATTAGTAAGATCTAATATATATGCATATTGTTGTTATCTGTCAGTAATTAGTTTTTATACATTAGAATTTTCATTTGTTGAACTTTGCAAAGATAGTTGGTAATGGCAGATAGTAATGAAACTACCAATGAACAAGTTAATGTTGGAGAGTCTGAAAATCATATCGAGTCATCTGGAAAAATTGAACCAAAAAGTGCTATTTATTTTGACAAATTATTATTGTTCATTGATTTTTTTTATTTGGAACTTGTGATTGGTATTAATTATTTACAGTCATATACAAAAGCAATCTCATACAAGCTACTTATGGGTGTTTTATGTCAGATTTTTTTTTAATTTTGGTTTGCTCACCTACAGATCGTATATCAAAGTCGACGAATCGATTGCTGACTTCAAGAACAAGGAAATATTATTAAATGAAATGTTACAACGTAATGTTAGTGCTGCATTTTTTCATGATAAAAATTTGTTTTGGGGTCCGACTGATCATTATTTAAAAAATAAATATGGGACGTTAATAACATTAATAAATAAAGAATTAGTTCACATGAAAGTTCATAATAAATATAATGATTTATTTTTTAATCACTGTACACAAATCAGTCTCTTAACAACAACATTCCCCTTTCTTCTAAACTTAGGCTGGTGGACCAATATCATTATGATAACAGCANTGTCATGGCGAGTTACGGTCGTAATACGGTCCCACGAAATACGGCGAAGATACGGCCGTAAATCCGCCGTAAACGGCCGTATACGCGGCCGTAGACGGCCGTGTACGGCCGTTTCTGGTCGCCGTAATTCTCGTTCTGGGACTTAACAAATAAATTGACGTTGTTTCTGTTTACATTTGTTTTGCGCTTGACACGCGATGAATGTAGTGTTGAGAAAATATTCTTTTCACTTATTTTTTTTCGTTCGCTCGTGGAAAAAAAAATATTCTGTCAATAACCCAAGCAGACTAGACGAATTGAACGTGGGTTAACGAATGCGATTGGTGTTTCTATCTGGCAACACTAATCAGATTTCTTAATTCATTTTCCATTCGTCCAATCTATCAAAGCTGACCTTATCTTTCTTTCTTTCTTCTTTCGTTTATATATAGTCGTTCACTCCGACAGATAACAACACACTAAGATATTTATTTCTTCTTACAAACTTCATGTCGTTATCATATCACGTGTTGGATAAAAGTGGCAAAGCAACGATTAGTTGCCTGTCTCGTTATATTGAAGAAAACGATGACATTCCCAAATTGAAGATGCCTCAACAGGCATTGTCTGAAAAAGCAGCGTCTTCTATCATCCGTAGTGAATTAAGACTCGATGGTAATCCTGACCTCAATTTAGCTTCATTTGTTACCACCGAAATTGACGATGAATGTCATAATTTAATGGTCGAGAATTTGAACAAGAATTTAGTTGATACAAGTCAATATGCGCACAGTAGTGAACTTCAAGATCGTTGTATCAACATCTTAGCTAATTTGTTTCATGCACCTCCAAACGATCAAGGTGGAGCAGTCGGAACAGCCACTGTTGGTTCAAGTGAAGCAATTATGTTAGGTGGCTTAGCTCTTAAATGGCGTTGGCGTACCAAACAAGCTGAAAAACAAGGAAAGAAGCCAGAAGAAGTGACTACTCGATGCAATCTGATATTCAGTGCTGCTGTACATGTCTCCGTTTTAAAACTATGCCGATACTTTGATATTGATGCTCGAATTATTCCTTTGGAACACGATTGTTACACGCTCAATATTGATCAGGTCATCGCTCAATGTGATGAAAATACATGTGGCGTACTAGCTATTCTCGGCACTACACTGACAGGTGAATTTGAAGACATCAAACGATTAAACATTGCATTGTTAAAATTGAAGAATGAGAATGGATTAGACATTCCTATCCATGTTGATGGTGCTTCAGGTGCCATGGTCGCTCCTTTCGTTTTTCCAGAGATAGAATGGGATTTTAGATTGGAACACGTTCGATCGATTAATACTAGCGGTCACAAATACGGACTAGTATTACCAGGTTTGGGCTGGATTGTTTGGCGGCGCAAAGAAGATCTTCCTGAAGACTTAATCTTTCACGTTAATTACTTAGGCGTCGATGAACCAACATTCAATCTCAATTTCTCCCGCTCTGCTGCCAATGTAATTGGACAATACTACCAGTTTCTCCGATTGGGCGTTGAAGGTTACAGAAAAATCATGGAACTGGCAGTGGACAACGCTAAATATTTAGCTGATTCGTTAATATCAATGAGTGAGGGATTATTTATTATTCGCAGTCAAAACGACAAACCTTCCCTACCAATGGTCGCATTTTCACTCAATCCAGCAAAAAATCTTAAATTTAAGGAAACAAATATTGTTGAACATTTAAAAGAATATGGTTGGATTGTCCCTGCCTATACAATGGCTGCTAACGCAAGCGATATTACTGTTTGCAGAATTGTTGTACGCGAAACTTTTACTCGCAATATTGCTTCGATTCTTCTCGAGGACATTCGACTTGTTATGGTTCGTTTGGCTAATGAACATGAGCACCAAGACTTGCTTGATTCGTTGAAAGCAGCGCTTGATGATAAGCATCAACATCGACGATCGAAACAACATCGTGATAAAGTAGCGATATATATAGAATCGAACAAACGGGTTAATCAACATCATATTGACAATAAGAAGAACGAGAAAAATAGCAAAGAAAACAAGAATAGATGTCCTACCGTGCACATCATCTGCTAGAATACATCCCTTTATAAACACAATTCTTTTTACTTGGTGAAAATGCGCTTTTCATGCTTTTCTTTGTTAAACTAGCATTCATTGGATCATTAGTATCCAAAAAAAAAAATGAAATAAATTTCTCTAGGTTTTATCAGCGCTTTTATTACTCATATTTCTTATCAAAAAGCGGGACTTAGAAGTACTGTGCTCGCAATTTTATATTTATTCAGTTATTCTCAATCCTGAAAGGATGAGTGTTGGGGACGGAAATAGCTCGTCTCTTTGTCCGCATTCTGACTGGAGAGTTTTTGAACCAATTAGATTTCAGGAGAACTTTTCGTCGCTATCACCCGAGAAAACACTTGGTTACTGAAGTAGACTATAGGATTCTCGAGAACGTTCTTTCATTTCCACCGAGTAACGAAGTGCTCTCTCCAGCTAGTAATAGAGACATCGCCTTGTGCGTTCTCATTGGTCGAAAACGGACCAATCAGTTAAAGGCAGTTCACAGCTCCAGAGAGTGAAGAAAAGAACTGGAAGAGAATTAACAGAGAGTGCGGAAGAAAAAAGAGAGGATAAGAGAAAAACAAGTATCTACTGAAAGAATACATTTGCCTGTTATTGTTCAAAAAATTGAGTATCATTATCTAATGATATTCACTCCTTCCTTATATATATACAGTGATTCGAGTTCGGATGAGTCCTACTCACTAATCTACTGGATATTTTCCCATGATGCATCATCGTCTATCTTAGTATTTCATTTGGATGTTTCCTTTCATTTACTCGCCATTAACCATATGTCACACATATATATGTTCGTTTTTCTATGTGTGAGAGTCTACGTTTTGTCTTTTCTCTTTCCTATTCTGTCTTAGTCATTGTTGTTCTCTCTCCTTTTTACTATTGAAAGGAACTCGATTCAAGGTATCTTCCTTTCTTTCGTTTCCTGGCACCTCACGACGTGAGACGAGTAAATCCAACTCTTTTATACAACTGCTGCAAGACGTTTCCGCAATATAAAAGCAATAATCAGACATTTACAATCCTTACAATCCCCTTACATGGAATTAAATTACTCAAAAATATTTTTTTATTGCTCAAGAATTATTGCTAATTCGTATTTTTAATTATTGCTCACTTCAATTTTTAAATTGCTCAAAGAAATACTAGCCAAATATTAAAAAAGCCTAATAAGACTGTTTAATTGCCAATAATCTTCGAGATCTTTTATTAAAAATGATACACTATTGATTGGAAATATTCATGATTAGGGATCTACAAAATTGCTTTTTTTTATCCCGGTCCCGGTCCCGGTCTGGACTCAATATCAGTTAAAAATTGTATTATGGTTAAAAAAATCCAGATTTTTTAAATGGAAACAAGAAGTGATAAAAATTTTTATCAGAATTGTAATAAAAATTGCTGTTTTTTAAATTTTCGATCACAAAAATATAATAAATATCTAAACGCAGAATCTAGTTTCTGATTAAAAGAAGGCCAGGACCACTTTGCAGATTCCTATTCGTGAGATCTTAACTTCAAATTCCATTCAACGTTCTTTTTATTCAGCATTCTTTTTGTAATTCATATTTATTGATTTATATACTTGCTGTTTTCTCGTTCAATAAATTAACTGTCAGACTATTACGTAAGGATAAATATTTTTGAAAAACAAATTTATTTCATATTTCTAAACTTGCGAGTTAAATAATAAAAGGGTGTGGGTGTGGGTGTGGGGTGTGGGTGTGGGCGTGGGTGTGGGTGGGGGTGGGTGTGGGTGGGGTTGTGGTTGTGG